ACAGACAGAGACCCCAAGTAGGCAGAGAGGCAGGCAGAGAGAGAGGAAGGGAAGCAGGCTCACTGCTGAGCAGGGAGCCCAATGTGGGGCTCGATCCCAGGACCCTGGGATCATGACCTGAGCCGAAGGCAGAGGCTTTAACCCACTAAGCCACCCAGGCGCCCCCTTTTTTTTTAAGTTTTAAAGATTTACTAATTTTAGGTGGGGAGGGAGCCCTGCATCTGGCTCCCTGCTCAGCAGGAAGCCTGTCTTCCCTCTCCCACTCCCCCTGTTCTTATTTCCCTCTCTTGCTGTCTCTGTCAAATAAATAAATAAAATACTCTTTATTTATTTATAATATAGATATAAATGTAATATATATAAATATAAATATAATATATATAAAATATAAAATATTTATTTATTTTAAATATTTTATTTCTTTGACAGAGAGAGATACAGCGAGAGAAGGAACACAAGCAGGGGAGTGGGAGAGGGAGAGGCAGGCTTTCTCTTAGTGGGGAGCCTGACGTAGGTCTTCATCCCTGGTCCCTGGGATCATGACCTGAGCAGAAGGCAGACGCTCAATAACTGAGCCACCCAGGCGCCCCTAAAGTCTTAAAAAAAAAAAAAAAAAAAGCTTCCCAAGGTCACCTACCTTCACAGTAGAGCAGCAATACCAATCCTGCCAGTCTGACCTATGTTCGTGCTCTAACCACTATGCTACTGAATTACCAGTGGTTGCAAACAACTTGTTAATGTCTTAATTATATTCAAGTCTATAAACAGACTTTCTCAAGTACCAGGTTTATAGAGATGTTTGAAATTTTTAGATAACAAAGGCCACGTACACAGAGAGCAATATTGCTAATGGATTCTTGCTGGAATTTCAATTCAGGGATCCAAGTGCATGGTAAAACCTTGAAGGTGGGGTCCAGGTAGAAGCAGTTAGTAGCACTTTTAACTGTCATATGCTTTTTAAACCTCCATATTGGTTACCAATAATAATTGCTCTAAAGACTAATTCTGTCAGAAAACTATGCGTTGTGGCTCTAAAATCAACTGATCAGGGGCCCCTGCATGGCAAAGTCAGTTAAAGGCCTGACTCTTGGTTTTGGCTCAGGTCATGATCTCAGGCGTGTGAGGTTAAGCCCTGCATTGGGCTCCAAGCTCAGGGAGGAGTCTGCTAAGGTTTCTCTCTCCCTCTCCCCCTTCCCACATTCTCTCTCTCTAAAATAAATAAATAAATATTAAAAAAAAAATCGGGGGCACCTGGGTGTCTCAGTCCATTAGGCATCTGCCTTTGGCTCAGGTCATGATCCCAGGGTCCTGGGATCGAACCCTGCATCAGGCTCCCTGCTCAGTGGGGAGTCTGCTTCTCCCTCTCTCTCCCCCTGCTTCTACTCTCTCTTTCAAATAAATAAATAAAATCTTAAAAAAAAAAATCAACCAATCAATTTTTTTCTAACAGACTATTTTTTTCAGAACAGTTTTAGGTTCACAGTAAATTGTGTGAAAGGTACAAAGATTTCCCGTACACCCCTCACATCTGCTCAGGCATAGCCTCCCCATCATAAACATGCCCCATCAGAGTGGCTCATTTGTTACAACAGCTGAACCTATGCTGACACATCATAATCCCCCACTTCCATAGTGTACACTTTAGGGTTTACTCGTGGTGGTGTTACACATTCTCAACTGACTGATTTTTAAATTTCAGAATAACATAATGAAATTCTGGAGCTGAGAAAACAAATACACCCAGCAATTAAATCAAATTGAAGAAACTTTACCTCTGCTAACCTTGTCCGAAGCTGACCTGGTTGTTTCTTTGCAAATAACCTGATGACCTCTGGGGTTTTAAAGGCCTGGCTGATAGCTGCCTGGATAGCCTAGAATACAGAAAGGTAAAAACTGAACAAAATAGTCCAATGAATTAAATATTACAATAATTGATTGGCAAGTCCTCAAGTATAAATAGGTCTTCCTTGTTCATCAAGTAGTGTTATAATTTTAGTTTCCACAAAAGCAAAAATGAACTAAAAAGCTGCACAGCAAAGGAAACAGTCAATAAAACCAAAGGGCAGCCTGCAGAATGGAAGAAGGTATTTGCAAACGATGTATCTGATTAGGGTTAGGATCCAAAATCTACAAGGAACTTAACAAATTCAACACCCAAAAAAACATGCAACCCATTTAAGAAATGGGCAGAAGACATGAACAGACACTATTTCAAAGAAGACACCTAGATGGCTGACAGACACGTGAAAAGATGCTCACCATCACTCGTCATCAGGGAAGCGCCAATCAAGACCCTGATGATACCATCTCACACCTGTCAGAATGGCTAGATTTTTTTTTTTTTAAGATTTTATTTATTTATTTAACAGAAAGCAAGAGAGAGCGAGAGAGGGAACACAAGCAGGGGGAATGGGAGAGGGAGAAGTAGGCTCTCTGCTTAGCAGGGAGCCTGACAAGGGGCTCAGTCCCAGGACCCCAGGATCATGACCTGAGCCGAAGGCAGAGGCAGAGAACTAATGACTGAACCACCCAGGAGCCTCAGAATGGCTAAAATTAACAACACAAGAAACAGCAGATGTTGGCAAGGATGTGGAGAAAGGGGAACTCTCTTGTACTGTGGGAATGCAAACTGGTGCAGCCACTTGAGAGAACAGTATGGAGGTTCCTCAAAATATTAAAAATAGAACTAGAATACGATCCGGCAATTGTACTACTAGGTATTTACCCAAAGGACACAAAAATACAGATTTCAAGAGATACATGCACCCCGATGTTTATAGCAGCATTATTAGCAACAATAGCCAGACTATGGAGAGAGCCCAAATATCCAACAACTGATGAATGGAAAAAAGGGATGTGTGTGTGTGTGTGTGTGTGTGTGTGTGTGTGTGTGTATAACACAGAATATTACTCAGTCATCAAAAAGAATGAAATCTTAAAATTTGTAACAATGTGGATGGAGCTAGAGTGTATTATGCTAAATGAAATAAGTCAGTCAGAGAAAGACAAATACCACAGGATCTCACTCATATATGGAATTTAAGAAACAAAACAGAGGAACATATGGGAAGGGGGAAATAAGGAAAGAGGCAAACGAGCCAGAAGAGATTCCTAATGATAAATGGGAGGGAGGCGGGTGGCGGGCGAGCTAGATGAGTGATGGGTGTTAAGGAGGGCACATGTTGGGATGAACACTGGGTATTATACATAAGTGATGAATCACTGAATTCTGAATTCTACTCCAGAAACCAACATCACACTGTACGTTAACTACCTAAAATGTAAATTAAAAAAAAAAATTAGTTTCCTTTTGCTATTTCTGTGCATGTCACTGGAGCCAAATACATAACTAAATGAAGATCTGGAAGCTTATGCTGCTCTACCTGTACGCAGACACTCAGCACTCATCTAGAAGTCAAACCCCCAGAGCTTTTTTCTATTTTAAACATACTTACTAAAAAAGAGAGAAAACCACCTGTGTCACCATTGTAAGTAAATTATGCTTACCAGCTGCATTCCACTTAGCTCATCGACCAGAGTCATATTTCCAGACATGATTTTCTTCAGGGAATCATTAAATTCACTTAGCTGCTCCAGAGTTTCCTTTTTGGTTTCTTCATACTCGTCTGTATCGAGTTCCTCTCTGAAGTGCAGTGAACATAACAGAGCAAAGCACAGAGTTCCAAGTGAAAAAAGCAATCTTAATATTTGTACCCCAAGACTTCAGCTACATATTTACAAAAAATATGTTGCGGGGACAAGGCTGAAAGGAAATGACAAAATGCTAATAACAGATGGGTTCAGATGTTGGTAATATGGGCGTTTTCCTGCAATGTGGTTAACTTTGATAATTAAACATTTTTCTTTTACCAAAACGAGGCACACTCAACAAACCACATAACAACTTCCTTTTAAGCCGTCTATGAATCAACGCGTAAGCCTGGGCAAGACATTTAACACAGCCAAGCCTCAGTTTCTTGATCTATAAGCCACAGACGATACAGTACCTACCTTATAGGGCTGCTATGAGCATTACATGAACTATAGGAAGTCCGTGACAAACAACAGGTACTTGACAAAATAGTGGGTACTTTTATCCCCATCCTTAGTGGCAGGTAAAATTTTGTGCATCGTGAAATACAACAGCAATGAGTGAAGATTACCTGTCACCTGAGGAAGAGGCTATTTTTTTTTATTATGATCAGTTAGCCAAGAGGCTATTTTTATTCACTAAGTGAACAAGCCATTTATTAAACATTTACTACAAATGATGGCAGCTACCATTTCTTGAGCACCTATTCTGGGCCAAGCATCATTTTGGCCTCTTCATTTGAAATACCTCCAACCACCTCTCAAAGGTGTTGAAAAAGGCCATGAATAGTTTTGGTCCTTTGAACAGTTAAGGTTGAAAATACACTAGAAGGTCAAGTATATACCAGGCAGGACCACTTTAAATACTAAAGAGAGACAAGATAGGTGCTGCTATTTCTACTTCAAAGCACTGTGAAGAACACGGCAGGGAAAACCAAAATCACACATGGGCCTGCACCCACCGCCGAGAATCTGGCCGAGAAAAAGCCACCGGACAGCAGAGCAGCGTTCGGTTAGACAATTACCTGCACTCCTCCAGATCTTGTAATTGCTGCATTAGTCTATCCAACTGTTCTTCTAGATTCTGCTTTAATTTGCTTGTCTCTGTCTTTCCTCTGGAAGCCATTTCGATCTCTAAGTAGAACAATAAGCCCACATATGGTGTGTATTTGGTTATTTGAAATGATTCAACATACTAGTACAATTTAAAATGGGCTATACTCTTTCTGAGCTACAGGTGTGGGAAAGACAGTTGTGCAAAGAGAATTTCATTTTACATATAAAAGTTTAACTAATACACTAGTAACATCCCACAAAAATGCCCGGCAGGCTTCCTAACTGACTTGACAAGTTAAGTAGAAATCTTCACTAGTGGGGCACCTGGGTGGCTCAGCGGGTTAAGCAGCTGCCTTCAGCTCAGGTTATGATCCCAGGGTCCTGGCATTGAGCCCCTTATTGGGCTCCTTGCTCAGCTGGGAGCCTGCTTCTGCCTCTCCCTCTGCCTCAGCCTGCTGCTCCCCTGGCTCGTGTTCTTGCGCTCTCTCTCAAAGAAACAAATAAATCTTAAAAAATAAATAAATCTTAAAAAAAAAAAGAAATCTTCACTATTGGTCTATCTTACTTTAAACAAATCTGATAACTGAAAACACAGTTTTATAAAGAAATAGATAAGGTGTGACTTTGTGTTACAAGAAGCTTTATTATAACACTCTTTTTTATTCTTACCTATTACTCTCCAGGACTCAGAACACTCCTAGCCTTACCGTATTGGTCTCATGTGCATTTACCTTATGGGCATTAACAAGTTTGATATGATTTCTTCTTTGGAAATCTGCCCATGTTCTACTGGATTATCTTTCCCTTACTGATTTATAGGAGTACAAAGCCTTTGTAGTTACATTGCAAATATTATCTCGTCTCTTAAATTTCACTGTTTTTGTCATGACAAATTATTATTATTATTTTTTTTTTTTTTTAAGATTTTATTTATTTATTTATTTGACAGACAGAGATCACAAGTAGGCAGAGAGGCAGGCAGAGAGAGAGGAGGAAGCAGGCTCCCTGCCGAGTAGAGAGCCCGATGCGGGGCTCGATCCCAGGACCCTGGGATCATGACCTGAGCCGAAGGCAGAGGCTTTAACCCACTGAGCCACCCAGGTGCCCCGACAAATTATTATTTTTTAAAATATTTTATTTATTTGCGAAAGAGAATAAGAAAGCACAGGCAGAGGGAGGAGAAGCAGGCTCCCCACTGAGCAGAGAGCCCGATGCAGGGCTCCTCCCAGGACCCTGGGATCACAACCTGAGCTGAAGGCAGACACTTAACCTACTGAGCCACCTAGGTGCCCCACAATAAATTATTTTAGTGGCCAAATCTATCTTCTCCTTTAAGGCTTCTTAGTTTTATGTCCCATGAAGGCAGCCCTAACCATCTCAAGATTTAAAAATATATATATACTGTACCTAAGAGTTACATAGATTTTTCTTTTTTTACATTCAGCTCTTTAAGCCACTTGCAACTTTTGTTAATGCTGTAAAATAGGAGTCTAACTTTTATTTTCTTTCAAATGGGGAGCCAGTTACCCCAACACCGTTTACTAGTCAGTACTTATACCACTTTCATTGGTTGGTTGTTTGTTTTAAGCAAGCTCCACATCCAGCATGGGGCCTGACGCAGGGCTTGAACAAACGACCACGGTATCGAGACCTGAGCTGGGATTAAAGTTGGATGCTTCACCAACTGAGCCAACATGGTGCCCCTACGCTACTTTTTATATAGACTCAATAGAAACAGAGTCAAGTCGGTTTCACTGACGATGTTCTGGTCCTAAGACAATACCTTGCTATTGTAACTGTTAGCAGTCGAGCTGGTGTACATTGGTAACTGATAAGAAGTTGCCTTTATTACTGCAGAATTTTCCCTCCAATAACTCTTGGCTATTCCTATGCATTTTCTCTTCTGGATGAACTAAAGATTCAACTTGTGAAGTCCCCTTAAAAATGCAACAGAAATTTTGATAAGGATTATGTTAAAATTAAAAACTAATAAGAAAAGATCTATATCCTTGTAATTTGAATCTTCCTATTAAGCAATATATCATTCCATTTATCTCAGCTTTCTTTCATGATCGTTAATTTAAAAAGTATTGTTTTATTCCAAAGGTCTTGAATATTGGCTATTCTTTTTGTTTTGTTTTAGCATTTTATTTTTTTAATTTTATTTTTTCGGTGTTCCAAGATTCATTGCTTATGCACCACAACCAGTGCTCCAGGCAATACGTGCCCTCCTTAATACCCACCACCAGGCTCATCCAAACCCCCACCCCCTTCCCCAAATTTTGGCTATTCTAATACATTTTGTATTTTTTAGTTAATACTCGGAAAACACTTTTTGCTATTAAAATTTCTGATTATTGTGGGTCACCCCGCTAGCTCAGTTGGTGGAGCATGCGACTCTTGATCTCGGGGTTGTGAGTTCCAGCCCCACATTGGGCGTAAAGTTTACTTAAAAACAAAGATTTCTAATTATTGCTAGTGTAGAGGAAAGTTACTGCTTTCGGTGTGTTGATAATGTACACATTTACCTTAACATTCATAGCATTTAAGTTTTTCCATTTATAAAAATTAAACTTACATTCCTTTCAGGAAACACATTTTGCTTAATATTAGATATAAACATTCATTAAAACCTAAATCCTGGGGCGCCTGCTGGCTCAGTCAGTGGAGTGTACAACTCTTGATCTTAGGATCACAAGTTCCAGCTCCAGGTTGGGTGTAGAGATTACTTAAATAAAAATAGTAAAAACCAAACCAAAATAAAACAAACAAACAAAAAACCCTAAATCCTTGGGTAACTTATTAAAGCATTTAACATTTTCCTATTATTATCATTTATTCCTATGATTATTCCTATTATTATCTTATTATCATCATTAGCAGATGATCTGGTATGTGAACTTCAATGACGGGGATTCCTTACATTACACTCAAAATAGAATATAATCAATGAAAATCTATTCTTACTACTTTATCTTTTAAAATTGGCTTATTGGGGCACCTGGGTAACTCAGGCGTTAAGCGGCTGCTTTCAGCTCAGGTCATAATCCCAGGGTTCTGGGATCGAGCCCCACATTGGGCTCCCTGCTCAGTGGGAAGCCGGCTTCTCCCTCTCCCACTCCCACTGCTTGTGCTCCCTCTCTTGCTGTGTCTCGTTCTGTCAAATAAATAAAAATCTTAAAAAAATAAAAATAAAATAAAATAAAATTGGCTTATCTACAATGATTAAAGATATGTAAATATAAATGAGCTACATTATAGCCAGAAGTGTAATTTCACGTATAATAGGTTAGCCAGAAGTGTAATTTATTGCACATAATTTATTATAGCTATGCTTCATATATAATTCTTCCTGGGAAACATACATTAAACTTTATTTCATAGTTGTTGAATTTTCCAGTAAAAGTAAAGCCAAACCTATTTTTCAGGCTCAATTTCCTACAGTCTAACCACACTGAAGTACTTGCTGTCTCAATTTTAGTGTATATGCTGCTGAAGCAAGCACTACTTGCTGTTTCAAAACGTGCCACACATTTTTACCTTCTCTTTTGAGCCATTTTTTTTTCTGCCTATCAAGCCAAGGTAATCCATTCTTCAAGGTCTAGCTCAAGGTTCAGCTTCCTTTCTTGGTTCCTTCCCAATCACTAAATTGTTATTTTTGAGTAGGGGTTTTACTTTTTATTTTTTTATAGGTTTTATTTATTGAGTTAGAGGGATCGCAGGAGCTGGGAGGCAGGGAAAGGGAGAAGTAGGCTCCCCACTGAGCAGTGAGCCACACAGGGCTTGATCCCAGGACCCCAGGATCATGACCTGAGCCAAAGAAGATGCTTAACTGACTGAGCCACCCAGATGCCCCCACTTCTTCTTTATACCTCAGCATCCAGCATAATGCTGGACAGACAGAAAGTACTGGAAAAATAAGTGGTATATGAATAATGAGAGGCGACTGCTTCTTCCACGACATTTCACATCTTATTCTCCATTCAGTACTTATTTCCGCCTTAACTTATATGTGATTTCATTACAGCACATTGTTTACTGGTCTGTCTTTCTCTCCGGTCTATAAACTCTGGCAGAGGAGTCTGATGTCTCCTTTTAGCATACTCAGCCCTAAAAGGAGAATAGATACTCAGTAACCGGATACAGCGTATAAAGGCACCAGATATCTTAAGGAGATGAAACTACTTTACATAAATTTCAGAGAAGATGGGGGCCCTCTGAAAGCCTTAACCTGGTGCCGCCCGTTATTTGAAATTTATCCCAGAAAGATTAACTCGCTGGCACCACCTAGTCTCCGACAAAGGCGGTGCAGCTTTCCCAGAAACTGCCGAAACAGCCTTCAAAACCGGCCACCTGGAGCGGAAGAGGTGCTCCCTTCATGCCCACCTTGTCTCTCAGGACTTCGAACTCTGCACACTGCTGGCCGGTCCCAAAGTGCCGAAGCCTCCCGCTGCTGAAGTTCTGAGTGTCATACACTTGAGGAAAGCGAAATGGTTCATCAGGACCACGAGAGGCTCAGAGTGCAAACCCCTTGGAGGAGGAGCTGGCTGGGAAACGGAGCCATGAACAAGTAGTTTCATTTACTTTCCAGAGACTAGCCTACAGCAGTCCCGATAACTCCCCCCGAGCAGCGTGCGTGCGACAAGCACCCTTCTCTTTCTAGGAAGACACCATGGGGGATGGCGGAGGGGGGCGAGGAGGGACGGACGCCGTTTTCTCTCTCGAGGGCACCTCGGGCAGGGCATCCTTGCGGAGGTGTCCCCTAGCGAGGCTGCGGGGGCTCCCGAGGAAAACCCTGCACCTCCACGTGTCCGCAGCGCGGCTGTCAAAGCCAGAAGCCCGGGTAAGAAGAGGGCGGAGAGCACACGTTTTCCCGGCTGGACGTGAGCAGCTACGGACCTCAACCATCGGGACGCGACACCGAGCAGCTCCGGCCACCACCCCAAACCCTGTGTCCATGGCGGAACTTGGAGCTCCGGCACCTGGGTCCTGCGGCGGCCGCGCTCGACTAGGCCCCGGCTGCCACCAGAGGTCGCCATGAACCCCCGCCCCCGAAACTCTTGCGGACCTCCCAGACCCGAACCCGGACAACCCCCTTGGGCCCTCAGGGTCCCCCCTCCGCCTGCGCCACCGCCTTGGTCCCAGAGATCGGGGCCAGGGGCCCCGCCTACCTGAGGGTCCTGGCCCGGCGGACGCTCACAGTCGGAGTACTTCCGGCGGACGCATGCACTTCCGGCCTCCAGCAGCCAATGAGGGTGCAGCCATGGGTGTTCCCTTGTCCGGCGTCCGGGCCGCGGGTTGTCTCCGGCAGGTCTTCGGGCGGGTCGACCCTGAGAACGTGGGAAGCCTCCTGGCTAAGACCGCTGAGAAACCAGTCTCTAGGGGAGTCAGCGCAGGACTCTCTGTCGCGAACTTGAGGGAGTCTAACGTGGTGGAGTCTTGGAGGGGCGGATATAACGGTCCCCGAGGCGACGTCATATTCCAGTTTGGGCAGGAGTCTTGCGCCTTCATTCTTTCCAACTTTCTGTGGAGCCGGAACCTCGGTAATTTTCCCTCTGTCCTCTGAACAGGTGATTCCCTTGGAGGGGAAAAAAAAAAAATCCTTTCTAGAGGTTTCTTGAGCGTGGCGGAGGGGGGAAGGGGCGGAAGAGGAAGTGTTCCATTTTCTGAAAGACTTCTCCTGGGAAATCCGTTTTCCAAATCCGTGAAGACCAAGTGCCCTTTCCTGGAAGCGCCTGGACGCTCACGGCCCTTGAGGACCCTGCGGGCTGTCGGCCGGGCAGCGCTTTTAGAGCTACTGAGAACCGGGGCGGCAGCCGTTTCCCCAGCTGTTCCCGGTCCCGCTCCTTGAGTCCCGAGCCTCCGGGTCAACCTCAGGGTTGACGGCAGAATTGTTTCAGAGAACGTGGGCTTTCGGGCCAATTCGATTCCAGCCACCCCAGACAGGCTTCCAGCTAGAGTTACCCTGGGGGTCCGCCAGAAAGAAGGACTTCTGCGGTGGGGGGCGCCTGGGTGGCCCAGTCATTAAGTGTCTGCCTTGGGCTCAGGTCATGATCCCGGGGTCCTGGGATCGAGCCCCCACATCGGGCTTCCTGCTCGGCGGGGAGCCTGCTTCTCCCTGTCCCACTCCCCCTGCCTGTGTTTTGCTCTCACTGTGTATCTCTCTGTCAAATAAATAAAATCTTTAAAAAAGAAAAAAAAAAAAAAGAAGAATGACTTCTGCCAGTTCTCATTGTAGGATTTCGGACTTCTTACCAAAACGCTGTTTTTCAGAGTTACAGTTTGGAGGTGAGACTGCTGCGGCAGCCCAACTTGGAGAAACCGTTGTCACGGTTGAAATAGTTCCGGTACCTTGCAGAACGCCTCGGGTTCGCAGCTTCTCCTTTGTGAAAGTAAGCTGTCGCTTTTTTTTTTTTTTTTTTTTTTTTTTTTTGCTGTCGCGTCGCTTTGAGTAATGCAGAACTCTCAGTGACATATAGGGTCAGTGCCAAACAAAACGGAAAAAATACACTTGTTTCACCCCTGGAAGAACTTGCTGAATAGACATTTGCTCACTGTGTGCTTCCCCTGATTTAAAAAAAAAAAAAAAGATTTTATTTATTTATTTGAGAGAGAGAGACAGAGAGAGTGCAAGCAGGGGGAGGGGCAGAGGGAGAAGCAGACTCCCCGCTGAGCAGGGAGCCGGATGCGGGCTGGATCCCAGGACCCTGAGATCATGACCTGAGCTGAAGGCAGACGCCCAGTCGTCGGATCTGCCCAGGCGCCTCTCCTTCCGCTGATTCTGAGGATAATGTGATGTCCTGTTCAGGCGTTTGGGTTGGTTTAGCGTGTGCAGTCATAGGAGCTGTGGAGGACAGGCCTTACCGGATCCACGCATTCTGTTTGCCGGCTCTTTCTCAGTGCTTTGATCCAATTCAGCGCTTCTATGCTGGGGGTGCCCCTTGGGTTCTTGTTTAGAGTTAATGGATCATGAAAAATATTCCTAGTGCAGAAGTAAGAGAAATTGGGGGCGCCTGGGTGGCTCAGTGGGTTAAGCCTCTGCCTTCGGCTCCGGTCATGATCTCAGGGTCCTGGGATCGAGCCCCGCATGGGGCTCTCTGCTCGGCAGGGAGCCTGCTTCCTCCTCTGTCTCTGCCTGCCTCTCTGCCTACTTGTGATCTGTCTATCAAGTGGATAAATAAAATCTTTGAAAAAAAAAAAAAAAAGAAGTAAGAGAAATTGGTTTGGGTTCCAGTTGTCAAACAGAGACAGGATCCAGGCTCTGAAGGGGTGTGGGGAAGGAAGTGGAGAAACTGGGAAAATAGGAATAACATGTTAAGTAAGTAGTCACAGGAGAGAGCACTGGGGGAGATAACTTCAGAGCTGGGAGTCGTAACTGGCAAACCAGATCAACGCTACTCGGCTGCTGGAGGATTTTAGGACGTTTAGACTTGGACTTGGAATGGGAGCCCAGAGAGTGCAGGTTGCTCCAGCTAGGTAAGGAAAATGCTGGGGCAGATGAAGCTTGAGTGGCTAACAGGAAGCCCGTGAGCCCAAGGCTCTCTGAGCATGCAGACCTCTTTTAAATGGCTACCAGTACATAGCTTGTACCATGACCATGAATTTTTAGTGTCAAGGTTGTTACACGAACTATGAGATCTTGAGCAAGTTGATCAATCTCTTTCAGCTTTAGTTTTCTCATGTTTGTTTGAAAAAGGGATGATATGGGTGCCTGGCTGCCTCAGTGAGAAAGACATCGTCTCTTGATCTTAAGGTTGTGAGTTTGAGCCCCACATTCAGTGTGCAGATTACTAAAATAAACAAACAAACTTTAAAAAAGTGGGGAGGGGGTGCTTGGGTGGCTCCCTCAGTTAAGTATCTGACTTTGTCTCAGGTCATGTTCTCAGGGTCCTAGGATCCAGCAGAGCCGGATCAGAGAAGTCCGGTCCCCGCACCCCCACTCATGTGCATGTGCATCTGTCTGCGCCCATGTGCATATGTGTGTCTGTCCATGCGCATGCGGTTTCTCTCTCTCTCTCAAATAAAATCTTCTTTTAAAAAAAGAAGATCATAAGGGGCGCCACTTCCCCCTGCTTGTGTTCCCTCTCTTGCTGTGTCTCTTTCTGTCAAATAAATAAACATGATATTTATTTATTTGACAGAGATCACAAGTAGGCAGAGGGAGAGAGGGGGAAGCGGGCCCCTGCTGAGCAGAGAGCCTGATGCGGGGCTCAATCCAAGGACCCTGAGATCATGACCTGAGCTGAAGGCAGAGGCTTAACCCACTGAGCCTCCCAGGTGCCCCTAAATAAATAAAATCTTAAAGAAAAAAAAGTTGGTTGCTTAACTGAGCACCCCGGGGACCCCTCCCAAGTTTTTATTTAAATTCCAGCTAGTTAGCATATTTCATTTGTTTCTGGGGTATATGTGCTTTTCATTAATTTACTTAATTTATTTTTATTTATTTTATTTTTTAAAGATTTTATTTATTTATTTGACAGACAGAGATGACAAGTAGGCAGAGAGGCAGGCAGAGAGAGAGAGGGGAAAGCAGGCTCCTTGCTGAGCAGAGAGCCCGATGTGGGGCTTGATCCCAGGACCCTGGGATCATGACCTGAGCCGAAGGCAGAGCCCTTTAACCCACTGAGCCACCCAGGCGCCCCTAATTTATTTTTAAACATAAGCTCTATGCCCAATGTGGGGCTTGAACTCACAACCCGGAGATCAAGAGTTTCAAGGACTACGAACTGAGCCAGCCAGGGAATTCTCAGAGAGTCTGGAGAATTTTTTAAAATTTAATTAATTAATTTTTTTTTAAAGATTTTTATTTATTTATTTGTCAGAAAGAGAGAGAGAGAGAGCACAGGCAGACAGAGTGGCAGGCAGAGGCAGAGGGAGAAGCAGGCTCCCCACAGAACAAGGAGCCCGATGTGGGACTTGATCCCAGGACGCTGGGATCATGACCTGAGCCGAAGGCAGCTGGTTAACCAACTGAGCCACCCAGGCGTCCCATAATTAATTTATTTTAAAAGATTTTTTTACTTGAAAGAGGGAGTACGCAGTGGGGAGGGGCAGAGAGAGAGAGGGAGAGAGAAATCCAAGCAGACTCTGTGCTGAGTGGGGAGCCCGACATGGGGCTCCATCTTATGACCCTGAGATCATGACCTGAGCCGAAACCAGGAGTTCAACACTTAACCGGCTGAGGCACCCAGGTGATGTGTTGGGAGATGTTTATATTGAATGTGACCTTCCTGCCAACAGATAGTTCTTTTCCTCAAGAAATAGAGTTGTCTTCACTTCCTCAAAACGTTAAGAGCATCTGTGATGACCTAGCTCCTACTTAAACTACCTTACAGGAAAAGAAGACAAACATTATGTGGGTCACTTAGTTATTTTCTCTGGACAACTTTGACTGTCCTGATGCAGAAGATTGTGTCACCCATGTAGAGGAGATTGTGGTTATTTTTACTCTAAAATTTCCCACTACATTTTTAAAGAACGAATTGTTTGAATACACCATCTGAATCCCTGTATCCTCTTAAAATTAAACCTAAACCTTTGTTCATTACTAAGATCTGTATTTTACTTCTTCCTTCTCAGTGCTTATCCATCCAGCTGATGGTAATAGTTTCACGAAACAAAAACAGAGGTTCAGAAAGTCAATGTCACGATCTTGAAAGTAATAGAGTGTCTTTATGTGAGGTGAATTCGGTTGTGATGTCAGTCCGGTGATTTGGGTTGAACTGTTCCTTTTTATCCGTTGTCAGTGCTAATCGATACTTCAAGACAACTTTCTTTCAGATGACTGGTTTTGTGCTTCCTGTTTTCGTAGCTCTGATGTCAGCTGACCATCTCACTCCAGAGCAGTAGGGTAGGAGATGAGCTCCTGCTTGCCGGCCGCGGTCAGGTGGCAGCTGCTGGGACAGGCTCACCTGCTGGAGCCATCTGTGTGAGGCAGGAGACCGGAGGACTCACGTGCCAGCATCAGACCATTGGTTTAGTGTCTGGTGGTGCGCAGGCCACGCTAACCAGCCAGCTCAGTGCCAGGCTGGAGAAAAGCACTGTGGGATGAAGCACGGGATCTAATTAAATGGGTTGGAAATCCTGTGAAAAGGATGGCTTTTTACTCCTTTGCTTCGTGGAGCTCTTGCTTTAGGAGGAACCAGGCTTCCCTTGCGCTGTGACAGCTCTAGCTGAGCAAGGACTTCCTCGAAGCCTTTGACAAGGAGAGGCTACTTGGGAAGTTTGCTTACCTGCAGAAACCAAGCTGCTTACTGACAGCAGCACAGACAAGTAGTAAAGTTCAGGGGTCGTTTTTTCCTGTGTTTGGGAAGAAAAAGCACTGTGAGAAATACTTGTCTCTGGTTGGAACCTATATTTACAACTTTTTTGCCAAAGGATTTAAACAGTGGCACAGCTTAGCAAGAGGTGGAAGGCTTGCTGCTCGCCGCGCCGTGTGCAGGCCAGCACTTCCACTGTTGATTGATGGCTTACCTTTTCTCTTCCTCCCCCTCTCTCTTTTTAGTCTAGCAAAGTAGATTTCATCCACAGAAAGAAAAATCTTTCATGGAATTTTTAAACTTCCCTGATGATATGTGTTTGTTTTTTTTTTTTTTTAAGATTTTATTTATTTATTTGACAGAGATCACAAGTAGGCAGAGAGGCAGGCAGAGAGAGAGGAAGGGAAGCAGGCTCCCTGCTGAGCTAGAAAGCCCGATGCGGGGCCTGATCCCAGGACCCCGGGATCACAACCTGAGCTGAAGGCAGAGGCTTTAACCCACCGAGCCACCCAGGCACCCCCTGATGATATGTTTTAACTGTGACGTGTCTAATCAGGAATTCTGCATCTACATATCTCTATTTTTAGTGTGAGGAGAAAATAAATATTGAAGACTGATGGTTTATTATATACAGACATGCTTTCAGATTAAGGTGAGCCCTTGAGAAATTCAGTATTTAAAAACACACACAGGGTGCCTGGGTGGCTGAGTTCATGGTCCCAGCATCCTGGGATCAAGTCCAGCATCGAGCTCCTTGCTCAGCGGGGAGCCTGCTTCTCCTTCTGCCTGCTGTTCTCTCTCTCTGACAAATAAGTAAACAAACTCTTAAAAAAAAAATTAATTAAAAAAAAATAAAAACACACACAGTCAGTTGCCAAAACTGTTAACACCACGGTACAGGCTCCTTCACCAAAGGATCCCACACCAAATACAGCAAACATCTTCTTCAGTGCCTGCGGGACTGGTTCCATATGTGTAAGCAGCACAGTGAAACCTAGAAGGAGAGCAGAACTGTCTGTTTACTGGGTGTGATTATCTCAGAAATACATTCTTGAATGCAAATCAAACAGAGGATGTTTCCTCGCTTCCCTCCCGTGGGACACAGATGCTCAAAACCTTGCCAGGCTAAGGTT